ACCTGTAATGTTTAGCTTTTACAACGACCATTTTGTAATTTTAATGCAAAAACTTTTTTTTTAATATTTTATATTTTTAATCGGGTTGTATATATAAAAGCTTAAAAATGTGTTAAAATACTAGCGTTACTTTTATGAAATAAATTTTGTTTAAAAATAATATAATTTTATCTAGTGAATATGAGGAAAACAACTGATGATAAATGATTACACGTACATATTAGAAATATCTGAATGAGCTCAACGAGGCTGGAATAATTTTTTAAAATTAATTATGATAATCTTAAAAATAACGTGTTAGAAATTAATTTACCTTAAGCTTAAATAAAGAATACACAAATGTTTATGAATATATAGCGATAAGAAAAATTGGGAGAAATGTATAGTCCAGGTGTGATCTAAAATGTATCACGATAAGGTTTAGGTTAGGTCAGGTCCTTGAATTTTTATTGAATATTATCTTACTTGACAAATTATAAAGATTAAAATGATTTAAGTACTTGAAATGCTGTTACAGTTTTTTGTTTGGTATACATGAAGTTTACTTTCAATTTTGCACATCTAATTTTGTTGTTGAGAATTAAAGATAATATTTTTATGTTCATTATACAAATTTATTTAATTTCTGAAAGACATCAAAGTTTTTAATCTCAAATTTTAAAATGATATATGTTGGTATATAAAATACCAGAAAAAGCAACAAATATTCATACTTCATCAGTACAATAAATAGTTAAACATCATGATAAGTAATTACACGTACTAGACACAACAAAATAAATACGCTAAAAATTATATGGAAAAAGCAATTTAAAACAATTAACAAAGAATTATATGACTAAGGATGAAATATTTTAAATGCTTGATATGTCAACTAAAACTGATTGTGTTTGATATTTTTTTTAAACCATAGTTTACGAAAATTCAAACAAAAATATAAATTGTGTTTTAAATTCAAAATAATTTTTACTCTGATGGGATCAGTTATTATATTAGAAAAACTATTTTTCAAATAGGATAATATAATTTCAACTAAGTCGTTATTGCAACATACGAGTAGGTACAACAATTGGTGAATGATATAAAATACAAGTAAAATAAATTATGAGTCTACTTTTAACTTCTTAGAAAAATGAAATTGTAGTATTTAAGTATAAGAAAATCTGAACATTAATATTGCGATGTAGTATCTAATATATAAATATAGCTTATAAAATATAAATATGTCAAGAAAATATAATAATTTTACTTAACACTGAGTTATTCTACATTATTTAGTAAGCCTATTTTAATAAAATCTATGAAGGTAATGGTATAGTTATCAAATCAATGTTTTTTTCATTGTTCTTAACAAAGTTACAATTTCCTTTATTATTCAAAATAAAATAGTAATGATATCCGAAATATACGTATCATACTTTATGGTATGTTAATGTTTAGTTTTTACGAAAAAAACTCTTTATGCAAGACGTAAAGACAAAACAATTCAAGTATATTTTTACAGTTAATATTTTTCCAGACCATACTGTATCCGAAGTTCTGTCGTCTATAATATATACTTTGGCCTAGTACCAAAATCTCGTTTCATTCGGCCGCAAAATACACGAGATAAAGCTATTATTTCTTGTGAGTATCTACTTTTTGACTTTTTTGGCGTCTGAATGTTAGTAGATGATTTAGCGCAATTATTTAAAAACTAAATAAATATCTATCAAAGAAAAAAAATTGATTAAAATTATTTTACTCTGCGCTTTAATAACATGACGTCAATAAATAAATATATTTAATAATGTATATAAAAATTAACAAACATAATCGAGGTTCACAATAACAGTAACACTAAAATAAGATATTTCAGAAACTAACTGTGTCTAATGATCCCAACAACTACATTACAATTACATTTTTTTCAAGTTAAATGTATATTTTTTTGATTTTTAGTGCTATTTATAGCGCATATTTTAGAGTTTTTAAGTAAATATTTAAGAGCTAAAAAGTAACATTTTTAGTGCTACAACTTCCGAGCCCTGATCATTAGGTACATCAGATTTTATAAATTGTATTTACTTTGTTTATAATTGATGAAGAATTGTTAATTCAATACCGGTCGTATTTTACAGATATAATAATATTCTAGGCCAGTGGTTCCCAAACTTTTTTTTTCCGTGGTGCCTTTTTTTGACCCAGTTTAGTCACGGTGCCCTGGTGTGAATAATATTTAAGACAGAATAAAAAAAAAAAATACTTATTGATAACCAATTTTATTAATTTTACTAAAATTTTACTTAATTATAAATTAATGCATTTTTAAACTTAAAAAATAAATAAAAATTATTGTTATGATTATAATTATTATATAAAAATATTATAAGGTTAGAATGAGAATATCTAAATATGCAATAGAAAATATTACATTATTTGCTATAAAGTTTTTTTTTTGAAAACAATTAGGAAAAACAATTTTATATATTTTAAACTATTTATTATGAACCGTAGACCGCGATGCCTTTAGAAAGCGGTCCTGGTGCTCCTAGGGGCTGCTCTAGGCTAAGAATTTATTTATTTATTTCTATATATAAACTATTTGATTATTTATTCATTAAATTATATAATAATATGATCTTAGGTTCAAAAACTATAAACAACATATGCGAACAAATAGTGGACTGTACTTAAAACTTATTTACTGGGTAGAGAGCTGAATAAAATACACTAATACTTCATATACATATGTTTATATACGTCATTAAGAATTTAAAGCGTTAACTTTTTTATGTGAACATTATGTATGACATTAATACAACTGTTCAACTTCTACAAGAGTGCTAATACCCTCCCTATCCTTAGATATTGACAATATAATATCTACTTAACTGATATCGGATGTTAAATAAAGTTTTAGCATTCAATTTAATTATTTTAATTTTATAATAGTTATGTTATTTGAAAACTTTTTATTTTAATTTCATATAGTAGTATAATTTTTGATAATGATGCAAATAATTAGTTTTATTATTTTGAAGTATAAAATTCAATATACCTATTGTTTAATTTTTTTTAAATTATAATTAAAACAAGAATAAAGCCTTTTTTTTAATTAATTTATCAGTCGAATTGTTTTTAATCATTATTAAAAATTTGTTCCAGAACCAAGCATTAATAGATCATAACTTAAAATTATAAAATCGGTTTTCGTTAAAAAAAAAAAAAAAAAAAAAAAAATATAAATTTATTGTGAAAACAGTCTGTTTTATATTTACACCGGCCATGTTCGTGTCTGTAAATATATTGCTGTGTTTCTCAGGTCGTAAATAGGTTTTAAATATTAATAAACAAAGTAAATAAAAAATATTTCCTAATGTAAGTAAGTAAAAATATTTACAATATAATAAACAATTAATAATTGCACATAGTATATAAAAACGTATTTTTATACGCGTGCTTTTTAAGCGTTATTTTCGGTTTTTAGTCGTGATTAGTGTTTTCTTTCTCCGTGAGTTTCATCCGTCGGCAAACACACGCTACTGAGAACACTGAACCGTAAGTACGGCCATTAATATTTAACGCAGTTGCCATTTTACCGTGCACACTGTGAACCGTTTCAATAAGTCACCACAAATCGACGTATACGTTTACAGACGGTCGCGTGCATTGTGCAATGAAAGCATTTCTATTTTATCGTTGCGTTTCGCCTAATTGACCGGTACATTTAACGACCGCAAACTGCAGTGGTTAGCCGAAGAGATACTAAATAATACATAGTAGTTGAACATACATATACATATGAATATCATCGTAGTACGTTTAGTGTCCGTTGAATGCAAACACACGCACCGAACACGACCATATATGATGCGAATACTATTCCGATCCCTCCTAAGTACACGTGTACGTATATAATGTTTGGTGCGGTTCTTTATAAATATTATAGTCACTCGTGAATCGGTTGCGAACAAACGAACGCGTGGTTTTAAAGTGCTACTCGAACGAACAAGACGCTGCACTTAAATACGCGGTCGAAGAGCTCGCGGGTACGTGGGCGATCGAGACCGTTCGCTTGTTGCAATGCATATAATCATCATTATCGTCATCGTTCGTCGTGATGAAACACGATAAAATTAACTTTCAATCTACTCTCCGGCCGTGCCGCGCGGTTTCGATTACTTTCTATGTCCACAAAGATTTTTCGTTTTACTTTGAAATATCAAATATCGTGGTCTTGTTGTTGTTGTTATTATTATTATTATAACCATTCGAAGAATCTTATTGTGTTAATGAAATACAGCGTTATTTCGACAATCCGATTTGAATGCAAAACCGTTGCGGATCAACGGAAAAGCCAGATGACGGAATTTTATTTTTATTAAAAAACAACGATTTTGATAAATCTGTTTTATTTTTATTTTTAGGATTGCGATTATCAATATGTTGTATTATATTGATGATTGCGTAATATATACTAGATAATAATAAATACATATTAAATATTTTTGCTTAAATAAATCGTTATATATTTTTATTTTTGTATAAAATGTTTTGACTCGTGTTTATTTATTTAGCTTTACAGACTGAGAACATTCTTGAAACATGTACTACACAGTTCAATAATACTGAACGGTTCACGTGATTACTTACTTCCTTACTTCCTAATAAATAAAAGCCGAATTATATTGCAGGTGTCAGACTATCGTATGGGTGGATTGCAGAGATAAATTTTTTTAAACCTATACGTTTAAAATGCATTCCTTTTATTATTAATAAATTATTGAATTTTCATTAAGCGAATAGCACGTTTTTCCCATAGCTTATAACTCGGTTATTGTTACATAATATATTGTTTTCATAACCAAATCGACACGGTATACACGTCGAATTTGAATATAGTCTACGTTACGGTGTTACGTGCATCCATGGTTTTCAATTTAGGTAAACATCAATAGAAACACTGATCAGTGAAAGAAGCATAAATACATAATACGTAGACAATTAATATTATTTACTGTTCGTGCAATGCTGCTCCAATCCGCATTGCGCACAACGGTTAAGCGCTAGTTCTCCGCATTGGCATCCGCCCTGTGGTACACAGCACGCGCAGTCTTGTCTGACTAAATCGTGATTACAACGACATCCTTGTGATTCCTGCGTCCATAGATCGACTTGGCCTGCGAAAAAAAAAATATGAGTATTTTCATTAATTATATTATGTATAGCAATGTACGAGATGCGTAATTTTTATTGCTATCCATTAAACGATAATCATGTTGGTGGTAATATTTCAAAACAGCTTTTTTCAACTAAATATTTAACGATTTTCTTTACCGTAGATAACTTTTTAATTTTCTCGACTGTAAAGTTTAATCATCGTCAAATGAAAATACCCGGTAAAATGGTTCATAAAAAAAAAAAAATAAAATAAATAATATAACGTAATACACATAACATATTTTTCGTCATTATACTAGGGAACTGGAGTATAAAGCTCGAGACAAATGAGATTTTAGAATAAAATATTAAATAAAAAAAAGAACAGAAGAAACTTTTAGAATGCAACAACCATGAAATTCTGGAAGTTTTAATGTTAATATTTCGTATTGACGAGTCAACATATTTTTTTATGAGTAAACAGAAAATTGATAGTCGTTCAAAGAATATTTAAATGGGTTTAACATCAAAATGCTAAACTTAATATTCTTAAATATCAACGAACATTTTTGGACATAAAAAAAAAATAGTACAAACCATATTCATGAATAATGATAAAGATATAGATAGTATACACTTATAAAATATCGTGCCACACAATAATTATTCATAAGGACAAACTTATAATGTTCTACATGAACATTTAAATGTCAACTAAAATAAAATATTAGTTTTGTTTTTCGTTCGATGAAAAAAAAGTGTAACACATATATTGTGATACTCATTTTTACACACAGTAATAATAGCTCGTATAAATATCTGTGCAGGAAGATTAATGGTTCAATATATAATATCTAGTGATTTTGTTTTATTGTTAAATAAATCATTTTTTTAATCAATATTAAATCAAGTGTAATCTAGAGAAACTCAAAATAGATCATGTTTCGTGTTCAACGCACAGAACTCATATAATATTTTAACATATTCATCGAAATACTTTCTAAATGAAGATTATCATACAATTATTATACAATGTTTTCTCTTTAAATTTTAATTCTATGTTTATAAAATAAACATACGGTTTAGAATTATATTATTTGTTTGGACCTCTGTTCAGTATTCGTGTATTAGAATTGGACGAAGATAAAAATTAAATTTATACACATATATTTATTTAATTTACTTAGACACGTTTAATACAAATTGTATTAAACAAAACAACCATTGTGCATTATTTTCGTAGATTAATTTAGTTTTACAGATGACAATTCATAACTGTAAACAATAACTAGACATTTCGGAAAATTAATTTCAACCCAGTTATTTTACTCGTATATGCTGTTTAAGTTTTAATTTGTTGTAACAACCTAGTTCAATTTTGTTTTAGAATTTCTTTTCAAAAAACAATAAAAACTAAATTCTTACGGTTATAAAACGCTGGTCACCATTACATTATTATAATTATATTTAATCAGCACGTAACATTATACGCATAGCGATTGCCACTAGTTGTTTCATTATCCCTGTAATTTCTTGCTTACAAGAAAATAATTAAATGTACAATGATTAAAGTGTACGATCTTGGTCAAAACGAGCTGAGATACACCAACATAACGGTGTACGACAGCAAATAGTTTGCCTAAAAAAACGTCTTGCAATAATTACGCTGACAATCGGGGAAGAAACCCGTTTACGACTTCTGTATACAAAAAAAACGGTATGCGTTGTTGTGCGGTGGGCTTGGTCGTTAAATATTTGTAATGCTCTGGTATCAGTGGGGAGCTGGAGGGGGAGGTTAAATGTAACAACATGTTATGTTCTATTCACAAAAAATTCCGTGCGCTATAAATATAAAGTAGGACCACCTCTAACCGTGAAATATAAATAATGAGGAAACTGTAACATTACGCGTGCATTCGAGTGCATACAAAATTATGCACAAACAAAAAATAAAATTCTTCACGTCTTTTCTGGCGGCGGTGTATCATCACGAGCCGTGTTGTTCGACGTCGCAGACGTGAAAGCTTTACGGATAATGATCGCGAATCGACGTTTTGGGAAATCGATCGACGCGTGCGCTCAGCAACTGTGCGGGGTTTAATTTAAATACGCTTAAATACGCCGTGTGGTTCTGCTCGTTGTGTAGGCATGGCACCGAGGTACGAACATGCACCCCCGAGAGCCGACAGATCTGATGTCTAACCCAGGGTTGCCATTGGGGGAAGGATCAAGGTATGAACTCGTATGCCTTGAATTTTTTTCATCTTCAATTATTGGCTATTGATACATGGATTTGCCACCTTGGCCTTCAGTTTTTCAATATTTAATATTGCATTGCGACTGATCAGTTATCACTTCTAATCAAACATTTTGGCCCGAGATGGGAAGAAATTGGGATCTTTAATTGCTTGGACACCCTTAAAAAAAACTGAAATGGCACCTCTGGTCTGACCGAACGGAATCGCAGCGAATCACTCCGTGTACGGGTGTCCTGCACAAGCACGTGTTCAATGATATCCGATAACAGAATATACTTGCACATTTCACTCCCCTCTGGGAACGGTGGTCGTTACAAAGCTATTCGGGTAGTGTTGTTGTTACAACATGTTGTTGTAATTGGTGTAACGATCTGTGCTCAGTGAAACTAAACCACGCCGTGCACGGTGAACGAAAAAGAAAAGACTGACTGTGGGCGACGTACGTGGAAGAATCAATGAGAACGTTTATTATTATTATCATTATTATTATTACAATAATTATTATTATTCGAAAAGTAGAACGCGAATTACCGTTCATAATCCATGAGGCCGGGACGGATGATGGAACAAATGCGTTGACGAACAACGTTCGACAACTGTAAAGTATGATTAAAATGATAAAATATTCAACCACCGAAACAGCCGCGATCGAATAATGGCATTATTGTGTACAACAGTATTCTAATGACAGTATTCGAATGTTCCGCAGGGTGGTCGCCTCCGCACATTAATAGCGATCGTTTCGTGGGATTACGTGATCAATTTGCCTAATTCCGTTGTTATTGATTTTGTTTATTTGAACAAATGTTAGCGTCTCGATGTATATACATTGCATTATGATCACGGTTTGGTGGTTCCAACGAGAGCCTACGGTTTGCGAGAATCGGCACGTGCATTCAATCGGTTTCATACTCGCAATGCGACAGTTTAGCACACCGTTTCGGGGGACGGAAAATAAAATCCAATATAACTGGCCGTTCCGGAGAAAATCTTGCTCTATTCCACTGTTTCACTCAAAACAGTAAAACTATACACAATATAATTGAACAAGTTTGAAAACTACACATAACAGCTCACGCGTGAACCCCACACGAGCTCACTGAAACAGCAGTACCTATCCCGTTCGGAGTGTTAGTCCAGATTTATTGCACGGCTGGATTGTCCGATACCCGGATCCTTCGTTTTATAAGGATTGATAAAAAAAAAAAAAAAGGATTCCACACGAAAAACTAACCGATATTGCAGTTTATTCTATATACTCGTCCATTATTTTTTTTTATTTTTATTTTTTATAAATAAAAATTCATGGCATTCGAGAGACTTCCGAGATTTCCCTCGTCTATATAAAATTCATCCATAGCCGGTTTTCATCACATACAAGTATAGCATAACAGGATTCACGATTTACTTACAATTTTATCAATTTTTATCGAGTTACTCTTTCCATCTCTTAAATATTGGATGCGGCACCAAAATTCAATATTAATATTACGCACGAGAATGTATTTTATATGAACTCTGTTCATTTATAATAAACAAACAAGAAACGCGAATTCCATCACAGGTTAAACGTGAATTGCAATAAACATAAATACATTTTTTTATTAAAAATTTGTATTTTATAAGTTTTAAAAACTCGTAATCGTTAACTTTTAAAACATTTTTAGAATGTCTGGCTTGAAATAATGCCTCGTTACATTTGAAACGTATCACTTTACTATGTACTTGATCATGTCATATTTCATTAAGTGTTAATATGTAGAATATAAAACTAATACATTTTACTCGTTTTTTGTATATTTTAGAAATAAGAATAACGCAACAAGGAAAATTTGCAAATATTTTTAGAATAATATAAAATTTTACTGTTATTATAATTAAGTGTCATGGTATAATATTATTATATTTTCGTAACTTTTTTATTAATGTTTCAATGTACAAGACATGGTAAATATTATCCAAAATATAAATAATGTTAGTTATTATACTATTCTGGAGTATATTGACTTTTATAGTAGTTCGTAATAGAATTTTTATAATTAATACTACCAAAACTCTCGAAACATTAATATTTTAAAATATAAGTGGGTAATATATAATACTTAAGTATAAAATTATACAGGAAATTATATCTTTATATAACTTAATAACTATAAATTATAAAATTAGAACCTATTTTAACACACATAAGAAAAAGTTAAACTATGAATTTGGCCATTTGGGATAGCTAAAATTAATTTTTATACTACAAATATTAACTAATAATAATTAAGAAAAATGTCTGCTGGTGATAATTAATATGTATATCCATCAATCAAATCGGCAATATAACACAAAAATACAACTAGTACAGCTCCACAATGATACAGCTGGTGCACAATATTTTATTCGTGGGATAATGCAAACAGAAAATCAATATAATAAACGAATACTCTCAAACGTGTTTTACATTAATTATTTAATAGTAGATTATATTTATTTTTATTTTCATGTGACATGAATTAAAAATATAAATTAAATTCATCATACAAAATAATTTTAGAGATAAAATTAACTAATGGTTTACATAGCATGTTTAACAATTATGAACATAAGATATATGAGAAATCAAAATTAAATTTTTTGGAAAATATTTATAAATGTTTCAGAAACATTAACTAAAAATAAATAATTATAATCACAATAAATTAAGGTAAGGAATAAATAAATTATTATAACGAATGTTTGTGTTTGATCGCTACTTGATTGATGAGTATACTTCA